AGCAGTCGGTGGAGCAGTAGGCTTGTGGCACCTTCACAAAAAGCACGCCAGTTTCCCGAGCTTCGACCTTGAGCGGTGCCTTGATGCCTTTGGGCTGAGGAGGGACTTTGCCAGCACAGGCATGCTGGACCGCCAAGCCCTCGCGAAAGCGAATCAAGGACCCGATCTTCCCAGGAATGGATTGCTTGACACCTGCCTCCTTGGCCAGCTCGTGCTTCTCAAGCTCCTTCTTGGTCAGGCCCACGGCCACAAGGAGGGCAGAATATTCGCGATTGGAGGCACCGAGGAGCCGCTTGGCAATCGAGATCTCTTCCGCCTTGCAATGTACCACCGCCTCAAAACACGTCTTGGGGTCGGCCGCCTCGAAGGTAGAGGCCAGATCCCCAAAGGAAATGAGTTGGCTGCTCCAATCCTGAGGCCTAAGCATAAAATCCTCGGCCTGGCTAGGCTTGCGCTGCACAAGCTTCCTCTCATCATTGGCAGGAGGTTTCGGAGGGGTCACTGGGGCGGGGGCGGGGGCATTTTTGCCCTTGCCCTTGCCTTTGCCTTTACCCTTCGTCTCGTTGCCAGCCGGGCTGGCTGGCACAGCGCCAGCCTGCCCTTGAGAGCCGCCGGCTCCGATCTTCTTTTTTGCTGCCTTTTGCAACTTCTGCTTCTTCCGCTTTTTAGCCTTGGCGCTCAACCGGGAGGGTTGAGCTGTCGGCCCCTGCATGGAGCCCATCACTTCAGTCACCAGCTGTTTGATCATATCCCGCAACATGGACTTAAGATCAAAACCGCAGTTCTGCAACAGATCTTGGAGGCCTCCAGTGGGTTGCCTAGGTCCTGGGTGGCTCGCTTCTCCCACCCTGACTCCCACATACGGGTTGTGATCCCCCTGTCGTGTCGCACCATGCGCAGCCGGAGGCCAACACCCCCCAATGAGAGCACCAACATGTTGCACGAGACTACAGCATCCCTCAGTACAAGCACAAAAAGTGGCAGACACACTGGCAAGCCCTTGCAAAACCCTTGCAGCACTCGCTCCAGCAGTCCTGTCCTTGGCCTCGAAGGTGAAGTCGTCGAAGGTCTCGTGAGGGGCCTCGAAGGTGAAGCCGTCGAAGAGCTCGGTAGCGAAGGTGTAGTATTCGCCCTGCGTCCCAAAGCAACTGCCGCCCTCCAGCACAGTATCTGAGAAAAGTTGCTCGCTCCCATCTCGCCGATCGCCATCAAACATTAGGCTCTTTGGCCCTGAGCCCCAGCAGCAACGGCCGCCGATCATGCCGAGGTCCTCCGCAAAGTGGCCGCCAGTGTGCCCAAGGCCCAGCAAAGGCCCCCCATGGCAGCGCCGATCACCTACAGACCCCGGGAGCCCATGAGGGCTAGAGTGTTTGGGAGCAAAGCTCTCTTGGTCCTCAAGCGGATCTTGTCTGTCTTTTCTCGGTTCTTGGGTCCGGCTCCCAGCAAGAGTAGCACCATCCAAGTCGAAGCCAGCAAGACTCAGCGAAGCAGGCAGAGGCAAAGCAGATTCAGGAGGGGAGGAGGGCCAGAGCCCTTCTTCGTCCTTTCCCGGATCTTGAGCTAAGTTCTTCGGTCCTCGGGTCCGGGCCCCTTCTAGGTACGCTTTTTTGCCCATGCACGGGTCTTCTTCATCTGCTCTCGGTTCTTGGGTCCGGCTCCCACACAAAAGCATGCCTGAGAGTTCAGGCTCAAGAGAGGATATCTCGGGTCCTTTCGGACACACTCGACCTACACCTTGGCCATCGCTCCTAGCACTGCAAGCAATGGTAAAGTCATGGTCGAAGTCGCCGCAGTCATCGTGGCCAAGAAGAACAGCATGAAGCTCAGGGGCCGGAGAGGATATCTCGGGCCCTTTCGGGCACACTTGACCTACACCTTTGCCATCGCTCCCAGCACTGCAGGCAATAGTAAGGTTGGAGTCAAGATCACAGCAAGCATCTGGTCAGCACTTCCTGCATGGAGCACGGGGGCCGGAGAGGATATCTCGGACCCTTGCGGGTGCTCTCGACCTGCTCCGGTGCCACCATTCCCCTCACAGCAGCAGGCAGCAGTGTCGTAGCAGAAGCCTGCTTCTGTGCCGCCGTTCCCAGCACGGCAGCTACAAGCAGTGTCGCCATCCATTCCCGACCCATTCCCAGCCAAAGCGCCTGGAACATCGCCGGCATCACTCTGATCCTCCTTTGTTTCAGCAACCTTAGAGTGCACAGCAAAGCTCAGCGAGATCATCGTCCAGCTGGTTTGCCATTCGCGTCGCGCCGCCTTGACCCACAAGTCAAGGCCGTAGGGGCTCTTCGGGAGCCCTTGCTTCCAGGCAATGAGTTGCCTGGCCCTGGTAGCACTTGCTTTCAGAAGCCTCCCGCCGTCACCCACAACAGCGACGAAGCATAGAGCCGAAGCCTGCAATCCCTGCCCTTCCTCATTCTCGCCCCAGAGTCCGAAGATGGTAAGTTCTTGCAGTCTTGCCAAGGGTCCCCCCAGCAAGTCGCTCTCCAAGATGTCATGACAACCAGGTGGTCTCCTTATCCCCGAGGAGGCAGGAGCCATGGCGCAACAGACGCTTAAGGATCGCTCAGCCGCTGGTGGGGGTCAGCGCCCGCCCTGGACCGCGCGGAGGTGGATCCTTTGATATGAGCCAGAGCTTTCTGAGTCACAGCATGTTGTCACTTCCTGGGACCGTTTTGCAAGCAACCCCATCCGCAAGAGCAACCACACCTAAACGCATTCGCGAAGGCTTGCTTATCCGTTGCTTGCTTGCGCTTCCGCGGAGCAACCGCCTTCCGCAGCCCTTCTGCGTCCTTTCACACGCATGGTCCCCGATTCCGGATCGAATGAAAGTGCTGTCTCCAAGACGCTGCGCACAATGTCGATTTCTTGGCGAAGTCTGCGACAAGGGTCCATGAAATTCAACGAAGCTGACATTGTGCAGTATGTAGAACGTGCTCCAACCCATGACACACGAGAGTCCATCAACGACGCATATGCTCCAATGGTTGATGATAACGAGAGAAGCCATGAAGTTTCGTGGCCGAGAGTATTTCAGAGTTCCGGACAGAGAAAGGCTCCGCGCAGAAGAGCGGAAAGAAGGGAAGTGTACAGAAAACCTCAGCTGAAACCATGGTTTCCAAACGGAAAACTTGTGCGGCTGACCATTCTCTTCTTGCTAGTTCACAGTGAATGGGTGCCAGGCTCCCTCATCATGCATAATGTCGCAAACAACCTGCTACAGGTCTGCCGCGTGTCCGCGAAGCCACCCCAGACTTGCATATCCTGCTGCAGTAACCTAGCCTCTTCTCCAAAATCATCCCTTGGAGTGAGCTGTTTTCGTCCCGTGCCTCAGGTCGAAAAAACTGGCAGGTCTGGATGGTGACAGAAAGAACTGCTTCTGCAGGCCACTGCAGGTTGACCATTTCAGTTAACAGAAAATGTCTGAAGTCTTGGGCATGCAGTTGCCCCCGTAGCCGTAGGTGGTAGTAGTAGTCGTCGTCGTCGTCGTAGTCGCAGTCGTAGTATGAGTACTCGTAGTAGTCGGTAGCAGTCGCAGCAGCAGTAGTAGTAGTAGTAGGAGGAAAAGTAGTAGTAGTCGTCGTCGTCTCGTCGTAGTCGTAGTAGTCGAAACACACTGTGCCGGCAAACGAGCACCACTAACGGGTGCAGGTCGTCTTGGTTGGGTCCAAACCGGGGGGATGCAAGATGAGGCACAAGCTTGGTAATGTTGGAGCGGGGGGCGCAAGCTTGTCGGGGCAGGCATCGTCATCTTGGTTGGGTTCGCTAACGGGGGAAGGGTCCGACAATCTTGCAATCCTTTAGCCGCCCACACACCAGCCCCCCGCCACCACAGAACAATAGGTTCACGGGCATGCGTGTCAATTTGCAACCCCCACCTCCCACCCACCCACAAGCTGATACTCATGATGCCGCCCTGCCACCACCAAACGAACCTGTCAACAAGCCACCACCCACTCACCCACCCACCCAGCTGGTGATGCTCCTGATGCTTGCCCACCCCGTCCCCAAAAAACGACTGATGCCCATGCTAACACTAAACACCTAAACCGATGCGCTCGCGGGGCGTGCGCAACCCTAAGCCATAAAACCCCGAATCCTAAACCCAAAAAACAGACTAACACCAATACCAATCATAACTACTACAAAAAATTACAAGCCCGTACACCCCACGCGCCGGGCACGCGTAACCCAAAACTACAAAACCGGAACAGCCTAACCCTAAACAGTAAAACCCCAAACCGAAAAAAACCCATAAATCCTAAACCTTAGTATACATACTTATTCAAGCGACTAGCTACAAACCCTAAACCCTAAACCCGTAGACCACCGGGCGCGCATAACCCTAAACCGGTAAGCGCAAAACTCCAACAGCCTCAACCCTAAGCCCTAAAAAACCCTAAAATCCTAACAGCCTAAACCCCATAAATCATAGAGCCCCAAACCCTAAACCCAAAAACCCGAAACCTTACAAGATTAATACCACTAACACCAATTATAACTACACCTAGAAACCTAAGTTTACTAAACCCTAACCCTAAGCCCGTAAACCTTAAGAGCTCGGAGCGCATTTCCCTAAACCCAAAAGGTTAAACGGTAATGCTAATTTTGCAATGAGCTACAAACCCTAAACCCTTCCCCCTGCGCGCCGGGCTCGCGTCACTCTAAACCCTAAACCGGAGCGAGCATCATGAGCCTCAGCCGGGAATGGGCCCTGATAAAGCCTGCGGACGGATTTCTGTCGCAGGCCTGGTTGAGTGAGTGGCTGGGTGGGCAGTTCTGGTGGGTCCGGCGAGGGGGTCTGGCGCATGGGAGGCGCACAAGTGGTGCAAGATTACAACCTCGCCATGCCACGCCCCCGGCGAAGCAAATACCCCAGCCCCAGCCAAGATGACCAAGGTTAGAAGATTTTGTAATGTCTTGCCAACTACCAAGATGGCCAAGAACTACCGCACACCCACCAGAAATTGCGAGATTATTCGAAGCACGATTGGTTCTCAAATGCTGACACAATGTAGTAGTAGGTGGTGGTGGTGGTGGTGGTGGTGGTGGTGGTGGTGGTGGTGGTGGTGGTGGTGGTGGTGGTGGTGGTGGTGGTGGTGGTGGTGGTGGTGGTGGTGGTGGTGGTGGTGGTGGTGGTGGTGGTGGTGGTGGTGGTGGTGGTGGTGGTGGTGGTGGTGGTGGTGGTGGTGGTGGTGGTGGCACCGGTGGTGGTCGTGTGAAGCTTGGAGACAAGAGATCGGACTCGAGAAAATGGCACACAGTCTCTGGCTCCAGAAACTTAGAGCCGGACGACTCTGGATTGACCTGCTTTTGGGCCTCGAGCCTAACCTGCTTCAAACGTCGTAGGCAGCACGTACTGGTGAGCCCGAGTGCAGGCCTCTTGCTCCCAGCAACGCCGGTGCGTGGCCTTGCCAAGGCGCATCGCACCGTGCTGGTCTATCTTAGCTCGGGACACAGTAGGAAGCGCAAGTGGTGGCCTGGCCGCAACAGACCTGACAGCGTGGGATCGGAAGCCGACGGCAGGGCTAAACCGCGAGGCACCGACTTCCAGGCCGACTCAACCATCGGCAAATGCGAAAGAACGTACACTGGGTTCTGGCTCGTTCTCCTTACGCGGCCAAGCAATTCGTGTTTGCATGGGCATGCAAGTCACCAACATAACATGTCGCCAGAAGGACCCACCATTGACTTAAGCAATCCGGATCCGATTCAGTCCTGTATCTGCGGAACTCTAAGGCCCCGCTTTTCAGCACGTACAGCGCGGGCTCCGTCATAACAATGCCCTGGACAGGACTTTGATATGTAGTATGCTCCGTTCCAAGCCCACCGCTCGCACGAGTTGTGGGCCTCGTGCGTGAACTGATAGCCTGGTTCAGGTGTCAAACAAAAAGATTAGCGTGACCTCGTACGATAAGTCTGATATGCTTGGAGCCGTCAGAACTTGAGAACTTCTGGGCCTTGTGGGAACTTGCGAAGGCTGAAGTACTGACAGGGGTGGTCCATCCTGCGACTGCTTCTCTCCACAATAATGCAGCTAGTTGCTCGTAATGTGCCAATGGGGAGCATGAACGGGGTGGAGGTGTGGACGGGGATGGGGGTGGGTGGTCTTGGATTCTTCATCGTGAGGGGGTCCTGTACTCTGCATCACCAATGCCAGGAAGTCGGTCGTTGAAGAAGCGAACTCTGGCCATTACCTGACCATGACCATGGGGAGCAGGCTTAGCCAAGTGTCAACAATCACCGTATGCTCTGTGAGATGCTGATCAGCACTTCTGAGCCATCTCGAGCCTCTGTCAGCACGTGCAGGACATGCTGCCTGAGATGGGTCGCGCTACACCAGAAGACCAAGTGCTGCCACGAATGGATGCATCACGAAGATGGAAGTAGCGAAGTGAGCTATTGGTCAGCCTGTAGGCATCGTCTTGCCGTGGCTTTATAACCTCTGGTGCTACTACATCATGTCTCAGTTGGTACGTAATTACTACTGTACCATGTGAGTTCTCTTGAAGATAGTCCCTGGCACTACGGCCAAGCTGCTTCTCCAAGATCATCAGCCGGCATTTTGTCCGACATCTCAGCGAGTCATCACGTCAAAGCAAGGTGGGATCGCCCGGGAAGCTCTTGTCAGTCTCAATCTGTTTACAAGGGATGACTGCTGGCCCCAGGCTTGACCGAGCCTTCCTACACTTCCGATTACATGAGGCACAAAACCGCCCGAGCAGAGCAAGTCAGCATCAAGCACCGAGGCCCCAACTTCACCGTCGCTGCTCGAGGCTGAGTATTCTTAAGAGCCAGCTCCCCGAAGCATGCAGGCCTCATGAGCGTCACATAGAACTTTTCATCGACCAAGCACGGGACGGAGATCGACAACGCTGGAAGACTGACGTGAGGCTGGCGGCATTGGTGCCGGTGCTGGTTGCCTGCTGTAACCGGTGGTGGCGCGGCCCCTTGCGCCCCTGCTGTACTCTGCCCTTGCTTGGAGAAGGCCGGTGTCGCCTATCGACGCCTAGCCTGTAGTTTTTGAAGTCTCCACTTAGATCGGGAAATCTCAGTGCCAGCACGCTTCCAGAGTCACCACGCAAGGGCCCAACACAGAGGCCTGTCGGCAAATGCTATCCACTTCGTGTGCCCAGACTGTACAACTTCGACCGGTACAAGCCTTGCAGAAGCAACTGAATCTTTCCAAAGTCAAGTACCGCTGATCCTTGGTCGACGAGCGTTCTCACAAGTCTCAACAACGACAAGCGCTAAATGCACCAGGCGCACCTTGCGGAAACCTTTTGAACCACGCATAGCCTCATAAGGCTGCGCGGAACTTATACACTTCGTTGATCACTTCGTGACCTCTGCAGACATGCAAGGCCGTGTTTACGGGGACCGAGCTTCCACGAGAGTGGTGAACCTGCAGACTTGCACTTGCATCTCAAGAAGTGGTTCCTCGCCATTGTGCAGTGCAAGCGAGCCAGGCTTGCTCTCTCATGTCGAACATGGTGCACGTGCGAGGCGTCATTGTCTTAGCCAGCTTGGGTGGAAACAACACAGCAAATAAATCATATGCATACTGCATACACTTCAACATGCTTGCATGCTTGCAAACCAGCTTAGAAGCGAAAATGACACAAACTCGGGAGACGACGCGCTTCAGCTTGCGCCTCTCCCCTTCGCGAGGAAGCATCTAGCAGGTTCCGTTTTCGCATGCAAGCTCCACCGACTTAACTCTTGGAGCACCATGCGATGCCATGCGTGACGCAAAGGGTGGACTGAAACGAAACAGCAATCTCAAAGCCCAACTTCCGCAGCGAGCCTCGGGGCCGCACTTGTAGACATCCACCCTTGACAGATAAGGCGGTGTCTCAACAAGCCCAGCAGGATATGTCCAAGTCGCAAGCGACTTTGCCCAGCATCGTGCAATCCAATCCGGAACAGTTACGCACGGCGGAGCAATCGAAAGCTTGCATGCAGATGCTGTAATGCATCCCAACACATCAAGATCACGGTCATGTTTTCGGACTGTGGCGGCCGTGACGACATGCAGATCCCTTCTTACTGCGGCAGAAGTTGAGGTCCACTCTGAAATGTGTGAAGATACGATCAAGGCCGCGGCGTTCCCTCACATAGCACATAGCAGTTTCCGGGTGGGTCTTGTTGGCGAAAGATGACCTGCCAAGGCCACGCAAATTTTGGAATCCGTGCTGCCAGTCTATCTGCCAAACAACGACGCTGGAGCTCAAACAACGACGCTGTAGCTCTCCGGCTGGTCGAGCCTGCCCAGCTGGACAGTCCTCCACTGCGAGGCAGGTTATCGGGTCGTACGCAACGAGTCACGCGGAAACTACTCAATTGCTTGAGACTACATTGCATCGCAGCGCCTGCCACGCGGTCTTTTGCGCAAGACGGTCGATGGTGCCAGGTCGCTCTGCCTTGTAATCGCAAATTCTGTGAATTCCAACCCGTCGATCAGTCTGGCCTCCATGTCCATGAAGAAGTCCAGCTTCCTGCCCCACCATGCGTGAGACTGCGTGTTTCAAACAAAACGCGGTCGGGGCATGATCAACCCCGCCTCAGGATGGAGGAAGCCTTCAAGCTGTCGGCAGACCTGCTGGTGATCTCCTTGAGAATCCTCCTTGCTGGCAGGTAACGATAGGAGCTGGACAGACGCACTGCATCAAATTGAAACCCTGAGAGGTGAGAATAAGTCAAACGGTATCCAGCGTCCAGCATGCCTCACGTCACGGATACCAAAAAATCCAGAGAAAATCGAAAAATCAAGCCACATGGCACTATCGAACCTCGCATCCCCATTCCAACCTTCCACCAAACAAGCTGCAAAGCAATGACACACTCCCATCGTACCCAATCTCTTCGACGGGCTTCGAAATATGTCCGTACGACAAGATAGACACTTCTGAGAGCTGTGGAACTGGTGAACACTTCGTGTCCTGTACACGAACCGTGGGATCACAAGGAACTCACAATCCTGCACGCACCTGGGCTCCCAAGTTGCAGCATGCCGCATCACCGCAGCAGGTCATAATTTTGATGCTTGCTTTCGAGAAGGTCGCACGGAACGGCTCACCACATGTATAAGGATTGTGGAACTCCCAAGCATACGATGTCATGGCGACTTGTGACCTCAAACATCTCTCACCAAAGAACCACATGACAGATGATGAAAAAAGGCACGACGACAGCTTTGGCCCCGGCTCGATGGTTGCAGCACGGGGCTTGTCATTCTGCAGCGCCATCTCTCCGAATATGGACCCTGCACCTGCATGGCTTCACCAATGCTGAAACGATTGCTTGCCGAGTTGCTGCGTGTGCGGAAGCTCTATGACTAGATTGACTATATGTGCACCCCGCACCCAAAGTCACGACCGTGTCGCCGAGGCACGAGTCCTGCAAGAGCACAATGCCCCATGTGATGCTTACTGATATGCGCAACTGCGGTCCTGAGGGCACCAAGTACAGTGACCCTCTGCGGTTTTGTAGCGTGGATTGTCTTCCTGCCGCTCTATACAGAGAGCACCAGCAGGAAATAGGAACGCTCGAGTCCGGACATAGTGACCATAGTGGTACATGCCTACTGAAACTCATGTGCCATCGCTTGCTGACCTGCTGCAACTGCTCGTAGAGTGTCATGTCCCTTTCAGGATCATCAGCCACATCAGCCTCCAAATTTGTGAACGTGCAGAAACTCGTGGCGAAGCTGCATCATTGTGGATACGCAGACAATGATGGATGTGGACTTTCCATGCCGAGTGTCGCTGGGGCACTGGCCGACTTGGACTGCCTATTTTCGCAAAGGATACTCTGACGACCAAGCCCAGCCTACCCCCTGCATGAGCCCCCTACCCCGAAACCAGTGTGTTCCCATCAGCTTCCGTACGCATCGGTTTTGGACAGGCCAATCAGTCACAAGATTGGGCAGAAGGTCTCAGGATCGGACAGCTGATTTGTCAACTGCATCAGCAGCTTCCACAACGATGGCCAAAACGCTTTGCATCGACCTGTCATACTGAGATGTCGGATTAACTCCGCTGATCCGATGCTGTTGCGCTTCATGCCGAGCTGTCTGAAATTGCACAACGACAAACAAAGGAGTCTAAGGTCGTGAAGGGTCGTGATGCCCTGCCTGCGCCTCATTGTCTTCACATGAGAATCCGTCTCTGCCTTCTGCTTGGCAGGCTTTTTCGGCGAGGCCCAAGCGAAATACTTCCTTCGTCGGTTCTTGCTGAGTGCCTACCACCACTCCATGACTAGACTAGAGATGCATGCCTGTTCATGTGGTACAAACTTCACCAGAATCACACGCTGTCCTGAGCTGTTGCTCCTCCTCTCCACTCGTGCTACCTGAGCTCTCGGCAGTGATCTCATCTTCAACAATGCGATATCTTGGAAGCCGACGAACATCTCTGTATGTTCCCCATTCGCGTTGCGTCAAGGTCTCGTACCTCAGAACCGCCACCACTCAATGGTGGAACATATAGCAACTTCGGACAACATGCCCCAAATCCGAATCATGTCCCACGGACAACTGCCTGCGTGATTCAGCTCTGTCACTGGCTTGACTTGGCACACTGCCAATACATACGTGGTTCATGAACTTCCCGAGGAGATGGGCCTGTCGTGTAAAGAACACACGCTCCAATGGCCCGCATCAGTCTCAGTCTGCTGTAGAACATACACATCACGCAATATGGAATGCACTTCCACTGCCCGGTCAAGAGCTGCTGATGCAGTTTGATGAAGCCCCCAATCGTTGCCAGGCGCACATTTGTCCTGCTCGGCGCAACAGGTGTGCAGCTAGGAGCCATGTCAGACAACCTACGGATACTCACCTAGAAGGTTGAGCTCTCTCAAATCTTAAGACCACGCAATACGAAAAAACAAATAGATGGTAACCCGAGCCTCACTGGAAGTTTCAGCTACAATATGCTCCGAAAGATACCGCCATAACCTCTTCCGAATATGTAAGCCACTAGTTAGCATCATAGCACGATCTCAGATTTCCGTAGAAATCCTGTAGGAGTGGGATTTCGAGTATCGCAAAACCTTGGCACTCTGGGAATGTATATCTTCAGACCATACTTTTCTCTGTGTCGAGACCTGCGCACTTCCTGCGGCCACAGAAGACATGAGACTTCCAAACTTGAGTGTCTTGACGGCTACATTGGCAGCTACATGACATCCTCATCTTTCCCAGCGTCTTTGAAGATCTTCACCGCTACCTCGCCAGTCACTACGACCTGATACGCAGGTTCTTCGCTTACTGGAAGAGAACTTCTCGCACAAGGCCACATGGAGACATGGCTGCTGGACAAGACATGCACATAACAGTTGCCAGCTGGATCGCCCTGTCGGAAGACAACCTGCGCAATAGCACAGGCACATCGAAAGCAACACATACATAGCACAGAAGTGACGGAACTAAGACATGATATTGCGTCGCATGTCATGTTGCGCACCGCACCTGAGCAGGGCTGCCATGAGGAGTAAAGCGATGGTGTGAGACGGAACCATACTTTGGGATGCGCAACCAGGAACTCCGCGTGCAGGATTGGCGAAGCAGTTCGAAGCTGCCTGACCGGCTGCTTCCTTGAAGAATTGGCACTTCTTGCCTTCGGATCAATGCCAGTATTCGCAAGAGGAGAAGTTGCGCACACTGAGCACAAGGCTGAGCTTCCACGTCATGCCATTGTAGGAGGTCTGCGCGGCTTCGGGAGGCTCTCAAAGAGTGCGAGCGGCCGAGCACAAAGGGTCAGCAAACTAGTCATTGGCCGGGCTGAACTGTGATTTCCCCCAGTCACCAAGTCTAAACGTCCGAATCCACGTGTCAGAGGCGACCAGCGTCTGGCTGGTACCGAGGCCAAGCTCACTGAGCGGTACAAACCGGCCTCCAATGTCATGAAGTACGGAACTGTCCTGCATCGGCGCATGCATATCCCAAGGAAATGCAGCAACCTCTTAGAGCTTATGACGGCATAGAGGCCGCAGATAGTGACGGACCCAAGAGTGTCTGTGGGCCATGAGGCCGCTGGCCGCTCCACAGGTACGAAATCTACACAAAACACAACGCAATACAACGCAATATCCGGAGCCTCAGCTGCCAGCGGCAAAACGCTCAGCTGAAGTCCGCCAGATTCTCATGCCATGAGCTGCTCACCAAAAGTAGACGGTGACTGACATAGACAATAGTGGAAGCAGGTCTGCAGAATTCACTCTCCTCAGCAGCTTCCAAACTCTTGAGCGTCGCTGGTCATTCTGCAGCTCTTCGTCGTTATCTTCCCTTGCCTTCATACCTCCTGCGGAGAGAATGCAACAACTTCCAAACCCAAACAACAACAAAAGCTCGCAGCTGATGAAGCGTTGTGTCACGAATGTCTCCTTCATCCGACAGAGTATTTAACACACATCTTCCAGCTCAGTAGTGCTCAAGATGTGGTGGGGTTGCTTTATCTTTCTTTTACATCTTCCGTAAAAGGCTATGACGAGAAGACAGGTGCTACGACGGCTGGAGCTGTCTGCCTTACTAAGCTCGCTTTAATGAACCAGTTCATGAGAAGAACGGTAATCAAGATTTAAAGATGTCCTCATTACCCCGAAGCCTAAATGGATACAGCGTTTTTCCACATGTATATGAACACAAAATCGCTTCTCTTTATCGCTACATTGAAACATAGTAGCAAATTCCAGGACATGTTTATTCTTGCTGATACTAAGTCAAAACAGCCCTTCATGCGTCTGTTTTGAGCTAGGAGTTCTCCCATCTATTTGCTAAAAAGCTGACAGCAGCTGTTCTGTTCGTGACGTAAAACGTAAGACGGTCGACTCTCTCCAGTGTGCACTTAAAGTCATGATCAAGAGCATTTGTGATATCTCCACGATATCTTTTCAGAAACACGAAGAAACACAGACGTGCTGTCAGTAGGGCCTAGGACCTAGGAGCAACTGGCATTTTTTTATCACAGGTTGTAGGAAACTGTAGGAAGTCTTTTGGTTTGACGAGTGAGAAGGAAAGAAGAAGAATTCTTGTGCTTGTGTGTGATGACTCCAGATTTCTCACTGAGAGAAGAGTTCTCTGGCTTCTCAATCTGAGTGAACACAGGCTCTCCAGCAGCAAAGGAGCTTGCCGGCGTCTTTTTTGCTTGTGTTTGAAAGGCGGCAACTGTTTCTCCTCACTAAATAATTCTCAAGAAACAGGCGGCAGGCATGCAACGTGGATTGGCAAGCAGAATCCGTTTTGGGTTTCAGGTGGTTTTCACTTCTCACAAAAAGAACAAGCAAATAAACGTGCGGGCGAAGCGAAGAAAGCACCGCAAATACCGATGCCTCGGACACCGACGAGAAACAGTCGACAAAACAAATACTCGGATCGCGGGGATGACCACATGTGGGAGGCGTGTCATCTGCATGCTGCATGTGTGTACAAACGCATGTACGCATGCATGCATGCATGGCCTGCATGTGTGTGTGTGTGGGTATGCTTGCATGTGTGTGTGTGGGTGTGGACGTATACGTATGTTTTATGTAACGGCATATGTGAGTGTATCTTGTACACACATATGTATATATATATATATAGAGGACAAGCACATTGGGGAATGTCAAACACATGTCACATGCATGCATCCTCTGCAGCGGTGTGGATGCTATGGGAATCGCTTGCCCTCTCCTTCGTCTTCTGGCTTAGGTAGCATTGCCGAATCTGAGCTCTTTCTGAGGCAATCGACTCAGACTCAAGCAAGCCGGCCCCCTGCCGTTGCGAACGCTGTACAAGAAGTCGAGCCCTCGCATGCGCCGATGCGGCTGGGCTGCATTCACCTGCGAGAAGGCAACATACCCTGTCACGCGATCCGCAAAACGTGCCTCTGGCCCTCGGCCAAAAAGCTCGAAGTCCCTGGCATAAGAGGCGTTCAAAGCCATACGGCTTTGCGGATGCCGGTTCATGAAATTGCAACGGGCCCGTGCCTGATTACAGACCCCAACTGCTCCAAGCTGCTTTGAGCCTTAGCACCGAAAGGTTTCAATTCAATCCTGCTCCTGGCAACTTGCAAACGCAAGAAAGTGCCTGCGGCAAGGAGCTGTCCTACATTGATGGCTATGCTACTAGATTGTCTGTCCCCTCCCTCTTTCCTTCTGGGCGGGAACAGCGGGGTTCCCCCCGCCACGCCAGTGCACTCTGCCTTGGAGTGAAGTGTGCTGCAAAGTAGGCGGTGGCTTTGTTTTACCGACCCAGCTTGGACAAGAACGAACCCGCCCAAATCGCTCTGCCCCGCAAGCTTCAGCTGGCTTTGCCCTCGACCGCTCCTCTCTCTTTCCTTCTCCGTCTCTATCTGCCGAAACACTTTAACAGACAGGGCTATCAACTTCTCAGTATTGCGCGTGCTGGACAGCCTTTCTGTCATCACACAGTTCAATGTGGCGAGGTAACCTGATCTTTCAGACGAATGCACTAACTTCATGAAGGGCTGGCAAGGCTTCCCCGAGCAACGTGAGTGCTGAGTGCGGCACGTCTGCTGGACCCGATCGCGCCTTGACAGTTACTATAGTACTGTACAGACTGTGAAGTTGGAAGGGCTGCAAATGACTTCAGCTGCACTTTATGCGACACGCGACTCCCGATAGGGCAGGGACGATACGATGGAAGACCCAAATCGCTGCGCCCGCAACGGCGTTTTTCGCCTCAAGCCGCGAGAGCGGGGACATGGCATCCCTTTTGAAAAGACAAGGTGGCAATCAAGGTGACATGCTGTTGATACGGTGGAGCTGCAGGCACATCCGAGACCCAGTATGGCGAAGTGCTGAAACCCTTGCTGGACATACACATGGACAAGTTCAACTACTACCCTGTCCTCACCCAGACCAATTTTCCTGATTGACGCTTTCTTCAGGCTCTGGCGGAGGAGTAACGCCGCTCTGACTGATGTCCTCGGTTGAATCGAATGCGGTTGCCTTCAGGCATGCAATGGCATGCATGGCAGCTTTGAGCTTCAAGCTCGAGGCTGGTCAGAGATCACATCCTCAAAGGTTAGCACCTGAGCATCGTCCCAGTTCGAAAGCCCCAAAACCCTTTGTCAAGGTCTGCAGTTCTCTCAGCTGCCGACCTCAGCTTGCCCCGAGAAGAACTGCAAGCCTTCCCGGTCCCTGCCGGCATCACCGCACGGATGCTCCTGCAGGTGCACTTGAATCTGCAATGTGTGGGACTGTCGCAGCGAACCCGTAAATCAACCATACTGCAAGTTTTGGTGTCAGTTCCGAAGGCTTGCATATACGTCCAAGGTGCACAATAACCTCTCAGCATGTCCTCATCATGCCCCCTCCCACCCCCTCTTCAGCCAAGCCGCTGGAAGGTTAGGAAGACTGACACTTCCTCCCATCTGCTGATGGCCTGGAACCCATGTCAAGGACCAGCCAATGACTCATGAGACTCGCTACATCTCGCAACACGCACTGCTCCACGGCCTCCGCTCTTCGCATGTCTGCAAGTGTAGTATTGCTGTCGCAGGGACCTCACTCGCCGCACTCTGGTGAAGCGCGCGCAGCTGTCGAGACAAGTCAGACCGAGCACCAAGCGGGGTCGGCAAGCGCTGAGGCTTCGTAGGTGCATTCATCAGTCATAGTGTGTGATGCTATGATGGACCCCCACACAACCAACATCCAGATACGTTTGAAAGCAGATACGTTTAAAAGCTAGACGCCCGATGAGGGATGCAAATCGGCTCCAGGTGACGACCCATGAGTGCTAAATAATACAGTAAAGTCACGCATCATGTTGCTACAGGCCGATACTCGTAGGCGGGGCTCGCGGACTTATGAAACTCTTCAGCCATGCGACCGCATCTGCCATATGCGGTTTCAACACTATTTCGAGCCTTCTTCTCCAGAGCGACCGCCTGACCCAATCGATCTTGGCGGTCCTCCGAACAAGCTCGATCTGATTTCAGCCATGGTAGAGCCGTCTGATGCCCACATCGTGTGGCTCCCGGATGACCTTGCACCTTCAAACCCCAGCATTGGATGTCCGGACTGGCCATTGCCGGCAAAGCGGGGCAGCAGCTGCTTTAGCAGGTCATCTGCCCAAACATGTGGTGGCAAGAGCTTCAACTCCAACAGCAGAGTGCCTTTCATGTTGACTGCTTTCAACAAAAGGCCCTGGCTACAATTTACTGACTGAAAAGAGTGGCGACCGGATGTTGACTGATGCCCTGCCCTACTGCCACACAGCTTGAACAGTGCTTCTCGTGTGGACATGGTCCGCTGTTTCTAGGGAGGTTTTCCATAGTTGGTCAGTTTGCTGGAGCCGATAGCGGCGGAGGTAGCCTCGAATTCCAGAAAAGACATTGGTGGGAACTGCGGCAAATGCGAGGATGTCAGCAGCAAGCTTGGACATCCGACTTCCCTCTGCAGCGACTCTCTGCGGGATTTGGGCCTCAGATGATACACAGAGTAGTTTCTGCTTGTCCCTCCAATACGCCTGGCCACAAATACTGGCGTGCCCCTGACAGATGGGATCAGGGCCAGGATAGCCATGTGTTCACGGCTCGCAATACTTCGCGATTGTGGGTGTCTTGGTGTTTTCCCTCTCGCGATTTCTTGTTACTACCGGTCTCCAGCTGAGACCATCTTGTCGGGCCGTCTTCTCGTTGTCACACCATCTCGGCTCCCAATCGGGTTTCCTCGGCATGCGTCGTGGCACCTCGGTGCTTTGTTGCTTGCTCTGCCTCGTCTGCGCGGATGTCGGGGGGACGTCTGCCCCAGCATGTGCAAGTTGCTTGCCACGCTGCGAAAGCCAAGACGGCATACACTTTTTCCGTCATGTCGGAATGTCTTTGGCAGAAGTTCGAATGTGGTCAATGTTTCAACCGTTTCCCCATCCGTTGATTCTTTCTCTCAAAGCGAGAAGTTGCCAAGGAGAGACTCTGCAAGGAAGAACTCGTCTCAGCTCTGTCCATGGCCTGTGCTGGCGTTCTCGGCTCTTCCTTCGCTGTGGCTACCGCTTGGCGACTGATGACAGGTGTCCAACGACAAGTTGGGACTCTGGTGTCATGATTGCTAGCTGCTAGCTGCCAGATTAAGAGGACATAGACCGAGCTTTCCTTTTCAGCCGGATTGACGTGAACTGTCCCCAACCCCCCAGATTTGACCGTTGCTCAGGATGTTTGCAGACGTCTCGGATGCTCCGACATTGACAACTGGCTCTCTGACTCTCTGAGACAGGCAAAGTCGGCCGCTCCAACTGCGTCTACATCGAAAACCAACGCAGCATGAGCGCATGGAGCAAAAGTCTCTTTGCTAGAGCCAAAAGCAAGCTAACAGGAGGCAGAGAGACATCATAATCGACAGGGGATCCGAGCATGAGTGTGAGTATCGCCATTACATCGTATATTCACAGGCTCTTCTGCACATACAACACCTGAAAACGGCATCTGATTTTCGTGTGACGTTCGCCACGTGTCTGTGTGCAGGGCACGGTTAGGCTTGCATTCATGTGCCTCTCATCGAAAGAAGGCTAACAAACTAACAGCAGCGGTATGCAGCAGTTCTGCGCAATGGCAGAACATCCTGTGGCTGTACCTCAAAATCTGAGCAGCGCAGCTGAAGTGAAATCATTAGCGTCCGATAGCGTCCGTCTGGTCCAAAGCAGCTCGATGCATCGCGCCTGCAGTGAACAACAGAGTCTTGCTGTTTCCATCTTCTGCTTTGACACAGTGTCCTCGTTGCTGCCGCATGACACTCCCGCCTTCTATCTTCGCTTATCCACTTCGGAACTTGCCCAGAATGTGGAGGGAGCAGACAATGGCCATGAAGACAAGGGACAGCACGAGTACCTCCAATGTCAAACCCGAAACAAGATGGCGTGTAGCTTCGCAGGCTATGAGACAATACACCAACGACCGCGGGCTCCTTTGAGCCGACTGGGAGCAAAAGCAAACTGCAGAGAGGGGACAGGGGGCATCGAACCAAGACGTCACTCTGTGAGGATACAATGAAGCCTTTCCATGACCCGAGGGTTGTCGTGGTTCTGGCTGCATACAGCGTCACCCTGCGCCGAGCAGTGCCCAAACTTCTTGTTTGGCATTCGAGCACCCACTGCAAAGACTGTAGCCCACTCGGATTTGAGTGCGTGGACTGTCCGTTGGCCGGAAGCACGAAGCAGCTGCGAGTCGTGTCCAGTGCACAAGCCACTCTATGGGATTTTCGGTCGGGCTCTCTTGACAAATTCCGTCACACAAAACTGGTGTTGTTGATCTCAAGCAGGCCAATAAGCAAGCACTCGCAAGTCCTTTCGATGGGGGCAACGACCAGCTTCAGGCAGCTCGCATGCGCAAGTGCAAAGGCACCCATACCGGGGTACAAGGTGGTATGCTCCCGAGGTGCGAGTGCGCACGAGCTAAAGACTTTAAAGAGCAATGTAATCTTGAACTCAGCTTTCTTTGATCACGTTTTTTTGGATCCGGTTGTCTCCGACAAGATGAAGTTGGATGGTGTTCCTTCACTGCCTGGATCGTTATGTCAGACTCGTGCCGGATCTACAGGCTGTGTGCTGACATCGTGTCACAAGGTGCACGACACAAACGCGGCAGCCTGCTCCTCCTGCTGTGAAGACCCCGACGCAAGCTAGTAAGTATGCAGAGACCTAAACCCCATGTATCTCAAAACGCCCATATAACAACACAGCAACACGTTTGCGTTCCCAAGATGGTGGATACCAAAGCTTGCACCCATGACGACAGGTCATCTAAAGAAAACTGGAGGCACCCCAGGAACACGAAGCACGCGAGTTGAAACGCCAAGGTCACCGTCGTAGGTCCGACTTTCAAGCCGGGAGCATCATCAGAGTAGAACTTTAGAATTCCGCCTGCCAGGGGGCCAGGTGGCTATGACACGGCTGCCTGCACAAGCCTTGTTGGGACCAACTGAGCCCCGGAAAAAAGAAATCTTTCCATTCAGCTGAGAGTGTTGCTGTAACACCAAATTGCCTCTGGTCGTTTCAAGCATCGAGCAAAACGCCAGCCTCCCGCAGCTTTACGCCCGCTGTTGGCGCCCTGCGTAGCGCCACCGGCCCTGCAGAAGAACAAGCGAAGCAAATGGCTTGCAAGAGTTGCTTTGCGGAACTGCCTGCTGCCTGCAACATTCGTCATGCCTCTGTGATAAATCACGTCATAACACTTGCTGAGACATGAAGGCAATTCAGGTGCTTAGTACTCTGTCAGCGGAGCTGAAGCCGGATTCCCTGCAAAAGCCTCATCGCTGAATCTTGCCGCAAAGTCATGTGAAAAGGCGGACCGTCCTTGCATTGGATCGCCGTGCCAAAGCCGTTCTGGACTTGGCATATCCGGGAGCTTCACAAAAGAACTCGCATATGCGACAAAATGCTGCGCAGGGACAATCGGACAAGGCTCGCACTCCACCAACCGACGCAGCGGCGGAGCCACGTCCAGTCGAACCTCCGCTGTCGGCCATCCTTAAAAAATCTCAGAAGCTTTCCAGAGCTCCCGTCACTCTCAGAATCCAGAGCCCAGAGCTCCTTGAAAGCTGCTCCGGCTTTACTCTGCGAGAGGGCTCTCGAGCCAAAAAGAAGCAGACGCAGAGTTTCAGAGTGCCTTCTTCCAACTTGCTTCATTCCATGCACGACATCGTGTCTCGAAGAACGGACAACATGTGACAACATGTTCAGCGCTTTCTCCTCCGATTTACTCACTGTGCACTCTGGGCTTCTCCTGCAAAGTGCTTCTCAGGGCCCAGATATACCTCCGAGCGAGCCGCACATGCGCATGCTTTTGCATGCTGAGTCACCAATCTTGAAACGCAACTACGGCGACAACCCAAGGCAGGATAGTGAAACCTTATGCATCTTGTGTTGCCAACCATGACGCGTCATCACGGCAAAAATGCCGAACAGCATGCAGCTGAACTTGCCAATCCCTTCGACGGTCGACCAGCGTGCAAAAGATTCCCCAGCATCCTTGAAGTTAGGCAGGGCACCACACGATCCAACAGCAAGCGGCAGCCCTTCTCCAAGCGCAGAGCCTGCACAGTCTTTCGCGAAGGGAGGCCCGGAACAATCAAGCCCGGTGAAGAGCATGCCCGTTTCTGAACTGGAAAGTGACAGACAACTTCTTGTCCAAAGAAACAACCGACGGGTGAATTGCCTGAGTCTAGGATAACTATCTGAGCGAAATGACAGTATTGTATTGAATGGCTTCGTAATCATGTTTGCTCTATACAGTTCAAGAAGTTCTTGTGATCAATGCAGTCCGCCTGGAGGCAGGCTAGAGACCGGTTAAAGGCATGCAAGCATGTGGCATCTTCCACGGCATCAGGAGTTAGTTAAATTGGGAGATTGCGCCTCCCCGAGCAATCGTTGAGCAGAGTGGTGGCGAGCATCTGCAGGCAATCCGCTGTCAGGAGTGGAAAGTTGACAGACCAGCCCGGGCCAAGTCAAGATGCTTGGGGTGGGACGGTTAAGACGAAGGCAGAGTCCTGAAAGCAGGCCGTCTGCTGAACGTCGCCAAACCTCAGTCGCAGAACACCCTCGATGTCTGATCGGTGACACGGCAAGATAGTGGTAAGGCGTCAACTCTAACAAACTCACTTTCAGCCTCCGCACAGGACTCTGAAATGCTCTCGCAGGTCCTTTCGGCCTCGCCAGGAACTCTCACACAAGCTCGGGGCTGCGTCGACTTTAAATTCAAGCCCTGGCTGGATCTGATATGCACCCACTGCTGCGACGAATTGATGGGACTCTCTGACATGCACTCAGATGTCGAGCAAAAAACAACATCGAGAGAGCCTTCATGGATCAGGCTGTAAGACGCTGTAAGCGAATAATGCCTGGCTACGGCTTCCAGCTTTTTCAGCAACCGGGTTATGCCTCACGGAGCCAGCTGGCGAGGAGCACGATCGCAACATGGGAAAGATGTAGATGGACATCCTGCGATGTGCAAACTTCATATTGTCTTGACATGAGCACCGGCCACAGCAGCAAAGGTCCTCCTCAGTGGGCCACGCCCATCTTCTAGCATGCGAACATGCTGATGTCTCCTGCAGCCAGGGTGGAGATGGCAGGAGTCATGTTGCGGCCAGAGCTAGAGCCTGCAGGTCCGTGTGCCAGGCATCAAGCTGCGCAATCATTTCCGCCTTGGAACGCAACGTCAACCGCCAGACTTTCAACATGTCCAACTCAAAACTGAACGGAAAAGGAGTAATCCAACGGCCGCGACTTCGAAAAATGTTGTCATGAGACCCAAGGGCTGGTACAGTCGTGAAAACCCAGCAAAAGTCTTTCGATCCTGTGGCTTTATCTTGCAAGCAGAAATGCCCCGAGACCTCCGCAGCAGCAAATCGTTCTTCGACCAAGCACTGCAAATACCGGTGCCGAAACTGTGGTGAATGTTGGAGATTCTTCAACGAAAACAGACAAGCACCTTCACTGCTGCACGCGGCGCGCCTTATCTCGCAAGCTGTCACAATAAACAAGACAATTAGGTTGATGAAAACGCTAATAAGAATTGACCGGGCCGGGCTTGACAAATATTCCCATGTGAAGAATGCGTTTCTGGAAGATTTTGAAACGGGTCTATCTAGACCTCGAAATCCCTGGTGAAGTCAAAACTGTGCGGTGATCCCTGGCTCAACGTTAAGTTGATGGCAAAGCCGGTGTGGTACTGCCAAGCTGCATAGAAGGTGATCAAGTCGGGAAGGGAGAATGAAAACGGCTTTTGCATCAAGACCTCCAATGCCACCTGAGCATGCCGACCCATGTTGCTACAGGTAGGAGAGCGTTTGGCGGCTCCACACATACTCCCAGGCAATCGACCCAGAGCCGATTCTCGTCGATGAGCGACGAGCCAGCAGCTCCATCACCTCCTGCAGCGCCACGAAGCACGCGATGTGAACGGTTTACGAGCCGAGACCGTCCTTTCTCCTGGAACTCGGTTGTGTGCCCGACCTGCGACACAAACGAGTCGCACCGGGCCCCTTGGCGAAGAGGTCATCCAAAACCTTCGCACACCTCCCCCAATGCTTGCGGCGCCCTGGAAATTCTTACAGTCCCTGTTCGCATGAAAATACATGTTGACGACTCCCAGGGAAACCGTATTCCCACACCTCTGCACTTCTGCAGCTTTGGCCTGTGGTAAGTTTTAGGACAAACTTCGGAACATATACAATGACATTTCAAGCAAGAACATTAGTATTCTGTACTTCCATGTCCCAGACCTTTCAAGGTGCGAATAAGATCTTTTTCCCCAGCTGCTGCACTTGCCCTCGATCCAAACATGTCGAAAAACTAATCAACGATGATGCACATACCGGCAAATTAACCTTCCCTCTTCCTGGAGTTTTCAGAGTCCTCCCTCAAGGTGGCTAGGCCCAGGCTAACTGCATACGGCTGCTAGCAAGGCCGGATCCGTTGAGAGATGGCCCACCTACGTGAAACTCGTGGCATTTTCTGGAAGCGTTTCAGCATCGCTCGGGTGGTGCCCTGGCGCTACGCGTGCGCCCGCCTCCAACCTCCTTATGCGAAGTCGGGTGCTTGACACAGGGCCAAGGTTCCACCCGAGTTCACGGCACAGTAAGGACAGGAAGCATGGACGCGGCACGCAAGCAGGGCTAGATTTGGCCGCACAACCTGGAACCCATCTTCAGGCTGTTTGTGAAGCTTTCACTCACTGTCACTGTTTATTGACCGTGTGCTGGGATTTGTGCTTTCCAAAGTTGGGCCACAATCATTGGCTGGAGTGTTAGCTGGCAGTAGTCGAAGCATACGTGGCGTACACACACGCAAAATGGATCCCATGGGTGACATGGATGCCAACAGACGCACAGCTACCCTCGATACGCAATCCATCAGATAGTACCATGAAGGTCACCCCTGCTTGCTGATTGTACAGCTTTGCTGTGTGTCCGCAGGTTCGCATAACTTTACTCACAATGCAACGACGTAGCCAAGCTGTTGCAGTTTATTATGTGCGTGCATGGGCTGGCCCACGAATAAAACATTGTCAAGCTGGCTACACCCCAACAGCTACTAGGTACAGCAAGCATCTGCAGCTCATCATCGCACCCTAGTTCTCCGAACTTATCTAGCTTGGTACTACCTGCTGCGCATGCTTGTGGAACCCGGCCTTCTGCAAAGCATTTAGCCACAAGCAGCTGCTGAACTCCAGAAGTGTTGCAATCTTGGCACACATGTTGAAACACATCGAGCTGGCTCATCGCGACTTCTAAACCCCACGTCTGACTAGGCATCCGACCCCTCGCACATGCCAGAGCTGATGGCTGGTTGGAGCTACCTGTAACTCCAGCACGCAAAAGGCACAGCCGGCTCTTTCCTCAGCAGCTCGGCCGACTTATGTGGCCTCCTTGAGCTCCTGCAGAAATGCTAGCACTCGATCGCGAAGAAGCGACGGCTTCAGCTGCCAGTCCACCTCGTCCTTTCGATGCTCCAGTTTCAACCCGATCCCTTCCACTGCAGCACGCAAGACTCCAGAGGCATTCCTGCTTGGAGGCGAAGAAACACGTGTGCGGCCGCCGCATCAGCAAAGGGAACAGCAGCTTGGGTGAAGCTACCTGCTGCTCATGGCAGGAATAGAGATAGCTGGGTGCGCACCAAAAACGGTCCTCGTCGCTGTGCGAATTGTAGGGGCCATCAGCAGGAAACAAGAAGCCAGCCCACCTCCAGGACAATTTTGTGATGACCAACTGCAAAGAGTCGGAAACATGTTCACAATTCAACGAGCGATGGTTCACGCTTCAGTCTGTGGCCCGTGCAGTGTCGTCGCCACATCATGCGCCATTTTCACGCCTTTCCGAGCGACATCGATAGCCCAAACGATTATGAATGCAAAAGCTCTTGGGCAACACTAGCCACTACTAGTCTACTAGTAGCGAACCATGCCTGAAAAGCCGGCGATGCCCAGTTGCAAATGCCAGAACCCGAACTCACCGGCCACCTGACAGAGACTTTCAGCTAAGGTATGAAGGTAGCAGGTTTTTGCGCAGACCTCAGTCATGGACTTCACAAATCTAGTCCAGGTCACACTGACTGTAACCATACACAAGGAATCTTTTCGTTGGAAGCTGTGCCACCCCCCAAACCTATCATGAGTTTCGCCGTTGCCCCCTGCTACTCCACATTCATCCCCATGTTCGACCTCCCTCGACAACCCTGAGACATTCAAGATGTCACGTTCGTTGACTCTCGGAGCAGCCGGTACCAAGCAGTTCTGTCTGCAGCCTCGTAAAGCTCACGCGCACTCCTCAGGTGCTGTAGTTCTGAACAGCGCCTGCGGGCTGCGTCGCGCCACCTGGGCAATGTTGGTCGTGCACATTGAAAAGCCGAGAATTACCCTTGTTTGGCCTTGCATCTTGCTTCTCGTTCCCGGCCATGGCCAGCAGCTCCTATTGCATCAACCCAGCGAAGACAAGAGAGAAGAATAGCTTCACGTTACCTTTCCAGACGCTTTTACAGTCGCGTGGCAGACTGTTGTTGTACGCGGAGAAAGGCATCATTTATCATCATCTTCTCATACAAGCACGACTCAAACTCCACGAATAAAGAAAACCTGCATGCATGCTTACGTACACACAGTTAGTTTGTTGAAAGCTGACAGACGGATTGCTGTGGTGCAGGTATGAGAAAAACATCTTCATCGGTCAACCTCGGTTATGGATACAACAGAAGGCATATTCCATTCTTGCAGAAACAAAACTTGGCGTCCAAGTCTCTTCCCATCGTGTTGCTTGCTTTTGCCCAGAGGTTTATCCTAGCTTGGATAGTACACCCACACACACTCACACCTACCTCCCACATCATGAATCAACGAAGATCGCAACAGCTTCCCTGTCTTATCTCTTGCGCAAGTAGGGCACAGTCCTGCAGCAAGGGTTGCTGGAGCTTTTCGGCCTCCAAAAGCAGGGCCAGCAAGGGCTTGCTGACAAGAAACGGTGAGGAACCAAGACTTTGTGAAACTGATGCATGCCCCCTTATCATAATCTGGCCGGTGCACCGCCCCCAATCTCAGCGAAAGCTCTTCTTGCAAAGACGCAGAGCTCACGCTCTTGCGCTGCTCCTGCCAAAACAACGCAGTCACCGACCAATGCGCAAAGCGATCGTGACACCCGACGGCCTGCGCGAGGTGGAGGTATCTGATGCGGTCTTTCAAGTTGTAGAACTGCCAGCGCTCAACACGAAAACTATACACATGGCATGTCCACTAGCCGGAATCGGACCAAAAACTCAGTACGGCTACTTAGTACCAAACGAGGCGCTTTCACATGCGCTGAACAAATGTTCAGAGGCAGAGATTAAAACTTTAAGAGAAACAAAGGCAATACCAATGCATCTTACTACACTTCGTGATTACCTACTCGAACCTGGCAATTGGCATCAGATCTCAAATTCAAAGGGGAAGAATGGACGGTGAGAAGTTTTCCCAGGGGTAGGCGCCCGGTCGTACGAGAGGAAGATCACATAACGTAAGGTTTGCAGGACAAATCATGCCACGAGGTCAGGTCGGCTTTGATGCTGGTCATTAGGGGGCATGTGGCCTCTGAGTCGCTTCCCCGTTCCGATCTTTTCCGCAAGACTGAACGTCGCTTCCGCATAACGGAATTGCCCGCAATATGGCCCAGAGATGCCACAGTCTAAGAAGGCTGTGGTCTTACTTGTGAACACTGGCGCGCAGTTGAACCCTCAACCACAACAACGACCGTTCCCGAATCTTCCTACGATGTGTTTCAAAGTTGTCGTGATTAAGGCAATATCTTTAGGATGTCCTTGCTCGCGAATCGGGAATGTTCGCGAGACCAGTTTCTCCAAAGCCTGCACTGACAGATGGCCTGTTCAGGTGCCTCGACCAAACGCTGTAGCTGCGCCCATGCAGGCCTCTCATGGCCTTGCCGCTGAAAGTACCTCGCCGCATCTCGGGAACATGTCTGCAGTCTTCCCTGTCAACCTGGCTCTGTAGCACCTCCACAGCAGCTCCGACGCCGTCCGGCTGCTTGCAGAGCGTCGCTGTAGTATGGCCTCGGAAGCCCCTCATCTTCAGTTGGCGAGCCGCGTGTTGGCTGGTGCCTTGACATCGGCGGCATTCGTGTTCAGGATGGCCTCCAGGAGAGAGTGCAGTCTGGGCGTACTTAACCTTGGTCGTACCAAAGAAAATCCACATCAAGCAGCTAATCAGGCAACTGGTCACTTTTCCTCTCCGAGTGCAGAACAGATGATCGAAGGTGATGTGGTGGAAGACGGGCTGGCAAATCACGCATGCTTGTCAATGCCAGACGTGTATCACGTGTATTCCGGTCGCTGCTCCCGCTTCATCACCAGTGCCTCGTTGGAACCTGGAAGCCTGCACGCTGATGCACGACTCCTGCAATCTGCTTCCAAGGCCAGCAGTCAGCAACTGGCAAAGTACACTGAGGTGCACCGACAAAGGAAAGACCGATCGGATACGACCCCAACCAAAAGCGCAAACCCCAGCGGCCTCGAAGAGGATTAGAACTTCAGACTTAAGTAAATCCGGGACGAACCGGCAAGTGAACGCAAAACACACAGCGCGTTTTGAAACAAAAGCACTGCCCGCCTCTTCAAAAAGACCTCCAAAGCTGTGGCTGCCTCAGCCAACCTTTCCAGGCCTTAGGCAGCAAGAAAATTCGCGCTTCGGACCGACTGTGACAGGCACAGTCAGGGGGGACGACTCATAGAATCCAGAAGGGAGGAGATGAGATCTCGGCAACGCTCTTCCGAATCCTTCGTGCCGGATGGCAGTTGCACCAGGAGGCTTGAGTTCGTGTGCAATCTCTCGGTCTGCAGCCAGGACTCCGCCAGCTTGCACACGCGTTCTGCACAGAGCTCTGCAGCCATGCCAGGCTCCTGCACCGCAGGAGCAAAAAAAACGCCTATCTCCTCATTGCACTCAAACTTTGCATCGGAGCCTCTGAAGCCAAAGCCCGGATTCCTCGACAAAGAAGTTGCCACTCTGGGGGAGATGATCCCGTCGGCAAGGAGCCCGCATACCTGCGGCAAAGACGAAGACTTGCGCTCAAACCGCCGGTCTCACACCCGAGTTGCCTCCGCAACATGGACAATGCCTGCTTGGAGGAAGTCGACCTGTGCGCACATGTTGGCCACAGGATAGGAACTTCGGCATGAAGGTGGGTCTGGTGAGGGCATCTCTGCAGTGCAGTCATGCGCTTTACCGGTGCTCTCATCCTGCCCCTTGCTACGTGCGCAGTGCCTGTGGGTCATTGGGTCATGGCCTGCTTCCCGGCGGTATTTTTTGATCGGTTCTAGCCTAGAGTCTCGCCTCGTGTGTGACAGTAATTCTATTTGCTCGAACAATCGGGCAGGTTTCGCCAGAACGGAACTTTGGAAAGTTTAGCCTCAACAAAGCGGCGACGTTGGGTCATTCACGGTCTGTCTGAAGGGCCATGGACCCTGTTAAGCAGCAGAACAAGCCAATAGTACATGCGTCTCCTGAATCATGCAGGACCATCTTCGGTGTCCCCCTTACTTCCGAAAAGAGGCGCCTAGTGGCGGAATGTGGTAGAAGAAATCAGTTTGGCAGAATTGGAAGGAGCTGAACAAACCATGAGAAGCGTGGGAGTACTGAACGGACCGAAGGAAAAGGTGTGCCGCCGAAGTGTCTCTTCGGAAGTTGCGGAGCCGTGCGATGGCAGAACTGAACACGGAGACGAATTTGCAGTCAGAGCCGTTCCCACCCGCTTTGCGCGACACTTGAGGACAAGTCCCGAAATCTGGCGGGTTGCTCTTTGAGCGAAAGAGGCTTGAGCCAAAGGCCATTTCTCCACCTGCCTCGTCTCTCACAAACTTGTCTGTCGGGCCTGGCCCTGGCCTGCTGACAGCTGGCGGAAACCTGCTTTCCGTTGTCGTCTAATCCGAACTGTCGGAACGGAAAGTGAAAGCCCAAGCAGAAAAGTCTTCTGGCGCGTGGCCTGAGGATGAACTCAAGCGGGCCTCTCGCTTGTCACTACGTTGGCAAAACCATACCAGTCTGTTCCTACTTAAACTCGGGCATGGAACGAGCAGGAGCTGACTCGAGCCTTCACCGCCCTGGTGCTGGTTTCATGTTGCTACGTCTATCTACTGCTTCATCTGAGAACAGCTGCAGAGTCTGTCCCGCGTTGGACGTGCGCAAACACATTGTAAAGCTAAAATCGTTGATATGCTCCGTGCATGCCGTTTCCCGACCTCATGCACATCACAGGGCAGCTGAGATGAAAGCTGCCAGTCGGCTCTTCTCAAGCATCGTTTGAGATCAACCTGATCGTGTCATCATCGACACCTCGTAGATGCAAATTCTAGTGTTGCCGCACGGAGCCGCGCCTGAGAGAAGATGGCAGGGCAACAGTCCTTCAGTTTGGCTGACATCACGGTACAGGCACGCACCCAAAGCTAGGACGTCACTTCTTCGAGCACGTCTCGCATCTTTGAATAGCCAACAGCTCTGCGCGAACGTCCGGCACTATTAACTTGAACTGCGTAGGCATACTTAGGAGGCTACTCAGGCAAACTCGTGCACCGCGTACTTCTGTAGATGCTGACAGCGTAGACGACCCAGCAGCAAGACTTCTGCGAGATCTTACAGCCAGAAAGACCCCAGCGTTGCGGTAACTCGGTCAAGATCTGCCGGTGTCAGTCTGCTTGTCGAAGGTGATATGTCCGCCGTGGCCGCCGTCGGCATACGAGACGAACGGATGCAAGAATTTGCGGCTGCTGTGCAGATCTGCAGCTCTCAGAGTAATTATTCTTGGTAGCTGTCGGCTTTCAGCTGTTGACGACAAAGCCTCTGTCCCCGACATGAGGAGATGGCCACTCAACACCGAGTTTGGTCGCTTCCTCCAGTAATTCTATAAGAAACTGAGTGGCGTCGCTTCTTACTTGCCCCACCTGCAACTTGGACAGCTGATGCGTAGCTGAAATGCGCAATCGTATACCCTGACTCGGAAAGGCCTCCATTCCAACAACTACTGCGGCTCCAGGCTGGCTTGTTGGAAAGACTCCAACAGAGACTTGCTCTTGCCACGTTTCCGGATGCGCCATCGCATATCGCCGAGCGGCTGCAGTAAGTGCTTTCAGATTCGGCTTTGTGGCAGATTGCGGTGGAATCAAAAGCTCAATGGCTGCAGATGCTCTTCCAGATCTGCGGATGTTGAGAATTCCCTCGCAATCGGCATAAAGCACAGAGTTGCGGATGTAGATCTCCTGGCTTCATCAGACAAAACCAAAGAGGTTGCCTCGACCCTTGCCGTGCACAACGCTTTCCAACTTCTCAGAATTCTAGTCTAACCCGATATGCTGGCTTACTGGGCACAAAGCGTCGATGCAGGGCTCCCTAAGCAAAGGGCCTTGAGGGGTTCAATCTCCGGCAGAACATCCAGGCACTTGAGGAAGCTTTTCTACGACCTTTCTACTTGGAGGTGTCTCGTAGACTGTCCTCAGACTTGCTAAAGGTACCTGCGAGAAGACACACATGTCCGACTGCAGCATACTGCACATTGCACTACTGTACGTGTTTGACTCCCAGGCACCTCGTCGCAGAGATCCCGAAACACTGTGTTGAGAAGCTTGATCTGCTGTACTTGCAGATAGTTTCCGCGGAAGACAATCATGTCGCCAGTGTCAAAAGGGTTCACATGCAGAAGCAGCACCAAAGATTGCAAGATATCCAGCAAGACTGGACCCCAAGCAAAAGACACTGCCAGGAGTACCTGAGAGGACAGACGTCAACGGTGAATGAGCCTGCAAGCATGTTGTTAAACGACATGCCTGCTCACATACATCACAAGGATGCACCAGGACACCGAAGAGAGAAGCCAGCTCAATGTTTGTAGCACCGTGATCGGTGCAAAGCGTCCCACCGCTACGACTACGAGGACCGAAAGTCGAAGCAGGGAGAGGACGCTGCAAAACAGCCTTAGCAAAAGTCACCAGCTGCTATTTCATTATCAATCAGTGTTGCAATACCTTTGCAAGTATCAAATCATATTCTCAAATCGGCATGGCAGCGCAAATACAGCTGAGTGCTCTCCCACTGTGGATACCAGTCTTGCAGCCTCTTTGTAGGTGGACACGACCAAATGCACAAATGCGTCCTGAAGCTTGCGGTGCCCACATGCTCCCATCTGTGTCTTAATTTCATGCGGTTCTACCCATTGCGCAGCTCAACAATGCCATGACAGGGCAAGGGTCAACTCCAACTGTCTGATCAATGTGTCCAGAGGATTTTGTCTTCTTGATCTTGCGGCTGCGACTCTTGGGCTCTGCTGACTGGCTCTCCTTAGACCACGCTGGAAGCGACTGTGCAACCCGACATCGCAACTTGAATGCTGCAGAGGGGCATATGTGCTGTCAAGCCCTTGTAATGCGCCTACAGGCCTACAGTGGTTCCAACTGCTGCAAGCCATGCAGTTAGCCACGGCACCGAGCCATCTAATGGCATGGAGCTGGATCTCTCCATGACCGTCTTGCCAGCATGTTTCACTGCCTTGGTAATTGCGACGTCCTAGCTCATCAGCAAGCCATTAGAGGACTGCTTGCAGCTGAAGAAGCTACGTCGCTCTCTTCATCCAGTGCCTGTAGCAATGCCCACAAGCGATCGGTTTCCTTGGAGGTGCACAAACTGAGTACAAAAGTGGGGATGCTTCTGAAGCCAACTTCCAAACCGTCATCTTCTGAGAAACCAAGCTATGTGCGCTTCTCTTCAGAACTCCACTGGCTCTGAATGGACGCCTCCCAGACAGCTTCCTGAATCCCTCGAACAGCCCAGTTCGCAAGCTGCATAGCAGTGGCAATGTCATTCTCGATGACCGTATGCAGCCTTTCCACACCAAGCAGGCTGGCTGTACGTAGTTTGACGACATAGTTGAATCTTTGAAGGCGACATACGGTGACATCGCCAACGAGCAGGCGAGAAGAAGCGTGTTGAGTCAATATTGAGCCGACCCCTCAAACATACCTCCTTCCATCAAGGTGCTTGTCGAAATTCAGCCGTCCATGTGGTGCTAGCTTTCGGTACAAAGCACGAGCGCCAGCAGCCACATGCCTGCATAAGAGCAGTGTGCTTTCTCGTCCAGCTGTTCATTGTGACACACATGCCATTCTGGGTTGTGCAGTCGCTCGAGAAACCTGTATATTTGTCTTTAGCACTTGCTGTCTGTGGCCACGAACCCTGGGCCCTCAAACTCCGCCGCCCTAAACCTTACAACCCTGAGCTGCCGAAAAATGAACTTTCGAGCAGTTTTCTCGCAAGCTGAATCAAAACTCTTCTGAAGGGCGACACAGTAAACGCTCTGCACCCTGATGACCTTCTTCAGCGTTGGAGAACGGTGTCAGCCCTTGACGACGGCCATTGCTATTTCAAGGTTCGAATCAGAAGTCAAGGCAGAAAGGATCCATGCAGCTGAATGGCTCCGGCTCAAGCACCACGCCGTCCACTTTGAAAACATCCTGAGCACCTGTCAGGCGTCGGACTTGGAAGGCAAGCAGCAGCTTCGACCACGCAAGGATCTACTCTATGCAGCTTCTGCACTTGAGAACAAGTTCTGCAGCTGCACATGCCGAGGAACTGGAGCCACTAGTCTCGCGCTTCATTCGGAACTCTGCGAAGTCGTCACTATCTTCATCCTGCCGCACGAGCTCACCGGTGAGCCGGTCGCTCAAACAGTGTCGGTTTGCAATCGCTTTCTCGCTTCAGTCCTCCCCTTCGGCCAAAGAGGCCAGGCTCAGCCACAGCTCAGAGCCTTCGCGAGCCAACTGACTCGCGAACGCATTGGAACATGCTGCAACTTGTTACTCGAAGTTTGGGTTGGCAAAACAATTAGGCAGTGGCAGAGAACAACGCAGGGCACACACGTCGTCGCCCAGGGCAACTTGTCACACATCGTATACACCAACCATGTTCCACGACGACATACGCCATAGCCATGTATTGTCGCATCATGGAACATCTTGTTTCTTTTCCCTTCTTGCACTTTGTCCAAGACATTCTGTGATGCTGTGGCCAACACGAGTCAAAAGTCCAAGCCTGGGCTGCCGGAAGCGATGAGCTCGGCACACGCACGCTCGAAGGCCAATGGCACAGAGTCGTCCAAGTCCAGCAGAGACTTCTCGTCGGGCTTCTGTGGCGAAGACAGCAACAAACGAGAGGCATGCAAAAAAACGCATCTTGCTAGCAATACTACGTCAGAGTGCGGTCAAGGTGCTTCCTCGCTGCTTTGCTTCTCCACTGCACCCCTGACGTTTGCATGTCACCCAAGCCTTGACAAATTATGGGAAGCATCAAAGCCCTGACCACCACCACCACCACCACCACCACCACCACCACCACCGCCCCCACCACGGCCGCCACAACAAATGCAACAGCAGCTGCAACGGCAGTAGTAGCAGCATCAACAGGCGCAGCAACAGCAGGCATCAGCAACACCAGGCAGCAGCAAATGCAACAGCAACAGCAACATCTGCAGCAACGGCACCAGCCCCAGCCCCAGCCCCAGCCCCAGCACGAGCACCACCACCACCACCACCACCTTCACCCCCAAGGCCACCACTTCGTCTTTGAACCTTCAGTTCCTTTGATTTGCCCTTCATTAGTGGAGTGGCCGAGCCCTGGTACGCACATGAGCTGCGTGTTGCAAGACGCAGCCGGCGACGCGAATCGCCGACCTAGTTCCCGTCGCGACGTCTGGACTCTCCTGACTGCGGTACAAACAAACCCCACGGCCACCACCACCACAACAACAACAAAACCAACAACAACAACAGCAACAGCAACACATGCAACAGCAGCATCAACTGTAGCAGTAGCAGCAGCAACAGCCGCAGCAACAGCAGGCAGCAGCAACGGCAACTGCAGCAACGGCAACAGCAACAGAAAACAGCACGACAACAGCAACAGCACCAGCACAAGCCGCCAGCCGCAAGCCGCAGCTGCAGCCACAGCAGTAAGAACGGCAATCCTCCTCATCCTCTTCCTCCTCGTCGTCCTCGTCGTCCTCGTCACGCTCCTCCTCGTCCTCCTCCGCATCCGCGT